CTTTTTGTTTCTTTGAAACAGCATTGTTCTGTACAAAGGAATCGTATCACTAATGTTACATTCCATATCATTTCCAAATCACATTGCTTAACCAGTCAATATTAGTGAAATATTACAGAAGTAAACATGCAAATTGATAAAATCTGAATCAAAATTATGTCACATGATTTCACTATGTATCAAATAATTGTGGACTATGCAAATATAGGCCAATTAAAGAAGCATCAGCTGCTCTGACCATATTTTGGCTAATGAATCTAAATGGTCCCTTTTTTATTTGTCTTAAAAATTAAAATCTTGTAAATCTTGTTTGCTGCAGCTATTTTTACTGCTTCTATATTAGGTATTTTGCACCCAATTTAGATAAACTTGTCTTCGTATTTATTAAATTTAAAACAGAGTCTACTAATTGCATAAATGCTAGGTGCTTAAAAGACAACTTTTCAATCTATGTGTATGTTTTTTTGGTGTAATTTTTTTGGCATGGACAACCTTCTATTGTTGAGCCCCAGACACTCAAATTAAGCCTTGTTTGTTAAGGTTTTGATCCAGTGAATCATAAGCATAGGAGAATGGCCTGTAATTCTTGCTGTGAAGCCTCCCAGGGCAGGTTATCCTCTGTGCTCGTTGTAGTGGTTTCTTGAGGTTGATAGCATTGGTCATATCAAACAACACTGAAAAAGTGATTTATGACCATTTTTCACAGTTACTTTTCCAGAATTTCCATGGTTCTATGATCAAAATTCAGATGCTTATGACACTTGCCCAAGGTCATGTGATCCTCTTTTGCAACCTTCTGACAAGCAAAATCAATGGGGAAGCCACAGTCATTTAACAACCTTGTTACTAACTGCAGTAAGTCGCTGAACAACTGTGGCAAGAGAAGTCATAACATGGGGCAAAACTCACTTAAAAAGTATCTTCACTTAACAGCAGAAATGATGGACTCAATTATGGTCGTAAGTCTACTACCTGTAAATACATTTACAGAAGGCTTTTGATTTCTGGAGGCTTTCCTGAATTCACATTTGCAATTTCTCCTTTTTGTTTATGACCCCTTTATCTCCGAAGTTCTTCCAAAGGGTTTTGAAATGCTCTGTAGCAAATTTATAGAAACACAGGGGCTACAGAAGAAAAGAAAATCGGGGGAAAATTATTTCTTCTTTCACTTAGAGAAATTTGAACTGATTCATAGATCTTTAATCTATTGACACAGTTAGGTATGAATGTTTTATTTTTCAAACTTCAGGATTTGTTTTATTATAAACTAGTTGATTTATCTTTTACTTTATATGCCTGAGAAAATGGAAAATGAAACAGAGTTATAAAAGTAAAATTCTAGTGTACAAAGACAGCATACAAAACTTCTAGCAGTGTCTGAGATTTTCCCCATTTCAGGATCTATGTGTTATTCAGTGTGATGTGGATAGTAAGGAATGACAGATAGCTATAACAGTCTTTCCTCCTCTTTTTAAAGAAGGTTAACTGGAAAAAGCAACAGCTAGGAGCAGTACAAGGCAGGCTTCTATACCTTTACCTGTGTACAGAAAATTAAATTTAACAGCAGAATAATTGCTATTACTTTTTCATCTGATTAAAAGTACAGAGATCTTTAACTATGTTTGTACTTAGGCATTTTAAAAAAAGGAAATATAGTATTAGGCCTGTCAGAATATGTATCAGATTTAGCGAATTAGCTGAAAAATGGGATAAATTGATAGATGCAAGAATTTAGATTTTATTCTGTCACTTGTTTTACTTGTGGATACAAGTTACACTGACCAGAACAAAAGCCTTTTCCTTTTTTACACATCTGTACCAGGATTTATATTTGTCCCACAATTTAGATTGACCCAGATTAGATCAATTTGCATCTGAGAATGTAGGCATCTTCTAGAATGTAAGGGTAACTGTATTCCATATGGACTTGATATCTGAAAAAGAAGTTGAGAATACCCTAGAGAATAAATTCTGATTTATGCAGCAACATTTTACATAACTGCTGTAAATAAGGTCATTGAATATATTAGGATGGATTTTTGACTTGACTATTTTTTTAAAATTATCTGAGCCTTTTAGAAGGAAGCCTTTATCTAAAATCTCTATAGGAATGCAAACTGCTATTGTAATTAATAATATATACCAATTATCATATCTTTTTCTTATCTATACTCTGTTTAGTTTGAGCAGAAGTCAAAGAAGCAAATGTACAAATCTGTAAGATCTTAGAATTAAAATTTAATATTATCTACAAAGCACTCTGAGGTAATAAATTTAACTAGCAGTAGGCTTTGTCTCATACCACACCCTAGCATTCTTTGTGAACTTTTTATGCTGCTTCAGAAAAAGTAAGCCAACAAAGGGTACCTGGAAAGCTACTTATAGTTGTGTTTTCCCTCTCCCACCCTCCACCCCTCCTCTCCTTCCCTCCCTCCATCCCCCCCCCTCTCTCACACACACACTACACAGTAGTGCAAAATTTAAATTGAAGGAAACAAATAGCAACTGATTTCGATTTGCTATTTATATATTGCAGCAATAATATGAATATGCCAGAAGTTTTTTTTACTAGTTTGCCTAATGCAGGAGATTTTTACTTAAGGAGACCTTCAGCCATTCTGCTGCACCCTTTAGCTTTGTTTGTTAAGGCAGTTGTAAAATAGAAACAAAAGAGGACAAACTGCTTTATTCTGCAAGCAGTGAAAGGAAATTCCCTTTTTCAGAAGTGTATTTTCACAGTTTGAGCTGTAAAGAATTCAAAAATAGCACTAAGGATTGGCAGGACAGTTGGAAGAAAGGACAAAGAAAGATAAAAAACACAAATACAGAAAATATAGAATCGCAAAATTTATTTTTCTTCCTAGTACAGTAATCTGACTTTTTTCAGATTAACTAACTGTTGATTCATTGGTTGAAACTGGAATTGACCAATCAGCTTGTTGCCTGAGTCTGATGTCATGGGCTGGGAGACAATGACTGGCCCAAAGTCATCCAGGCATCTTTCTTGCCTAAGGCGGGACTAGAACTCAACAGTCTCCTGATTTTTAGCCTGGTGCCTTAACCGGTAGACCAAATCGACTCCCTGAATCACAAAATGTAAGTAACATTGCAAATTAGATAAATGAATCAATACATTACCGTAGGCTTTTAATAACCTTCAATATGCATTTGAATTTTGGAACAATTTTTTTCTTACCACAATGAAGGAACAACCTATCATAAATTATCTATAGGGCAGAACTTCTTCATAATCTGTAATTCATCAAACCCAGTCAAATATTAAGGCCTGGTAGTGCCAGCTCCTATTTTTTGCAATCGCAGACAGCTAATGCGTTGTAATAGGTTTAGCAAGCCCCTGATGAGGCACAGGATATGTCTGGGAGTCTGTGTTCTGTTTGATGCATCACAGCAGGCCTATGTTAAGAATGACATTAAAACTAGCAGGATTAAGGAAATGAATTTAATATTGGTGTTAACTCTGAAGCAGAATGCATTAATTAACAAAAGAAATAGAGTACATAGGCAGCACTAGAAATAACATATCATTTATTTTGCCAATGATTTTGACTACTCTGGATCAGATCTTTTGTCATTTCAGTGAAAATTGTCCTTCATTCTGGGCTTTCTGAAATTTTTCCTTGTTGTGGTGCACATAGTGCTAAAGGATTTAAGAGCAGGCCCTACCTTGAATTCTTTTAGCACTTATATAATATATGAGAGTGTTTCATTTTCTGTCTAAACTGAATGCTCTCAGACATGTAGCCTTGCTAAGAAGACTTATTGTCATTGATTTATAAAGGTATGTTTAAAAACATTTTTAGTTTGGTATTCTTTCGTAGAAAGAGATTCTTCTGTTAGAATTCATGAGATCAGCTTCAAAGTGGCCACTAAATCAAGTGGGTACTTTGAAATACAGAAATGATTGTGTGTGACTTGAAAGATATAATACAGCATATATTTTCTTTCTGTATAGAGTTGGAAAGAACAGCTTGAATCTGTTTTTCTTAGGAGGTGTGTCAGACATCTAAGAAAATACCTTAAATTTTTCCATTTCAAAAAAACATAAAATAGTGACTTGGAGACACTTATTAATTATAAACCTTAGCAATTTTTTTTAGTTTAGTTTGGTTTGGTTTATAAAATGCAAAGCTCAGAGTTCTTTATCCTCTTAACTCTCCATGGCTGATTTTACTGTTGGAACCTTGGTCTCTGAAAGTTTTTTATAAAGAATTTGCAGAAATATTTGTTACCATGTACTTACACTGTTAGTAGGAATATATTAATGACACTAAATAAGATTGTCCACTGTTGTTAAAGATCTATTTCACCTCAAACCCACATTTTGACAAATTAAATAATAAGACAAAGCAAAATGAAAACATTTGAAAAGCAAACTAATGAAAACAATAGCATTAAATAGCACAAACGAATGTAAAATACTATATCCATATTGATATCTACGGGGGGTGGTGGTCTTGCATGTGTCTTACAAGATTTTTAACTTGTTGTTGAGCTTATCTTCATTACTTTATTTCTTAGGTCTTACATTTTATTAATTTCAAGTGTAACATTTTAAAAGATCAAGAACGTTTATTTTTCATTGTACACTAGAAATCGTTATATTATGAATTTGATGTGTGATGACACCCCTTTTTTGCAGCTTTCAGCAACAAAGAAACTGACGGTCAATGGGCTGGGAAGAAACAGATAAATGTGGAATGTATTAGACTGGAAAATATGTCAAATTATTAAATTAGTAGGTTTGATGGCAATTTTCAATGTAACTTTTGTAATTGATTTATATGGAACATTAGCTGTTATCTGTACATTGTTATGACTGATGATTGATTTCCTGACTGAAAATAATAGCGATCATTGCCTTAATGTAAACAACATGGAATGACCCTGTCACATGCCACATGCTTCTGAAATACTTCTCACAAGGTTTGTTTTTCTATAAACAGTTTGAATTCAACACTATACTTCTTTTTTTTTTTCAGGAATGCCCAAAGAAAAGTACGAACCACCTGATCCACGGAGGATGTACACAATTATGTCCTCAGAAGAAGCAGCCAATGGGAAAAAATCACACTGGGCAGAGTTGGAAATAAGCGGTAAGAGAAAAAAATTGTGTCTATGGCAAAAAAGTGATTTTGGATTAATTATTGACAAGGCTGACCTTTTCATTATAACTTCAGTTATAAACATTCTATTAAAATTTAATCTAGTTCAAAATGAATGTAGTATGCTGATATTAATTTCAAACTTGGAACTAGATTCTTCACTTGGATTAAAACCGGCTACTGTACTTTGTTAAAAAATACCGGTAATCCTCAACTTATGGCCATTAGTTACAGTAGCACTGAACGTAAAGACTTACAATTGGTCCCCAAAGTTTTAGCCATTGCAGTGTCCCAGGGTCATGTGATCAGCATTCAGACACTTGTCAGCCTTCCCACGCTTATGACCACCGGTTCTCTTCAGCTTCCCCATCTGCCTCTATTCCCCCCATTTAGGCCCTTTTAACACCCTGCACTCTATGGTCCCTGATGCCCTACCTGACTTTTTCCACCACCACCCCTCAAAAAATGCTGACTAAGCTTGTCTCATCTGTCCCTTTGCAAGGCAGTTGCTGGCTGCATGAGACTTTCTTCAGTAGATTACACAAGGTAGTTTCTTTGCAAGATCTGGGGAAGATGTCCTCCTGTGGCCAGCAGCTGCTTTGCAAAGGACCAGCCTGGCCTGGATGCATCTTGTCAGCAGTGGAAAGAAGAGGGCCATAGGTCAGGTAGCATGGTGGAGCATAGGGTTGTAGGAGCCTCAGAGGGCAGGGAGGCAATAGTGTCTGGGATTGGGCTGGGGTAGCTGCGGCGTCATGCTGTGTTGCAGCTCAAAGACTTTTTGTAACCCCAGGGCCATGGAGTGCCAAGAAATCCCTTCCACTACACTGCTAGACTTGGCTTTGCACTGTGCTGCAGCTCAGGAGCTTCTTGCAACCTGACAGCTGTGGTGGGTCAAAGTGTGCTGCCTGTTGCACTACAGCTTTTCACCACTGGGGCTTCTCAGAGTGTGCTGGACTGGATTGGAGCAATTGAAGCTTCCAGGGGTGGCGCATCTTCACACTGCCCTGGGGTTCAGGGGTCGCATAAAAAGCCACACTGTATCCTTTCCCCAGGCTCTCACTTTCATAGATGCGCATACCCCCACATGCTTTTTTGCTGGCCTCCCTGAGCTCACATTGCACTGCACCATCTCCCATGTCATGCATGGCCTGCACACTCCTTACCTTTGCTTCCTGCTTAATGACCCATGTGTCCAGAGCTGCAATGGCAACTGGGACTTCTGAGATTGCCACATAAGTGATGTAAGCACATAATGTCAACACATTATGACCTGATCACTTACTGGAATTTCTGGTTCCAATTTTTCTAAGTCGAGGACTATCTTTATGATTCCAAACCTTATGTATAAAACTTATTGGGGCTTCCATATGGTATTACTATAAAAAAAAACTATGGGTCTGATCCAGTCCTGCTTTGTTCCCTCTCACAGGGGGAACAAAATAGATATTAATGAATGCCTCCATTGTAGTCTTCTGTTACATATATGCTAAAGCAAGAATAAAAATAACTTGTATTGAATGAAAGTGGAAAATTGGAGGAGGATAAGAGAGAAGTGTGTGCTGTGCAAATGGTTTCGTACTGACAGTCTTTGCTTCTAGAAAATTCTGAATCATAAGTGCTTTTGTTCAACGTCTTAGCTAGAGGACAAAGAGAACAGAAAAAGGCATCCCATCTTTGATACTTTATGTTGGCCTTCCCTAATATACATCAGGGAGAGAGAGCCCTGTTCAATCAGATAAATAGGTTATCTAGCAATGACCCATCTGTCTCTTCAGGATATTAAGCTTACAGGACTCCAAGGCTTATGTTTCTGAACATAGATTTTCCATTTTCTTTTATACATTTTTCATTCAATAATTTAATTCCTTTTAAAAAGCAACCAAGTTAGTGAAGAATGCTTTTTTTTTTTTTTTTGCAGAGGGGGGTTGGGTTTCTTCTGATCTTACTGAAAGTCTCTATATCCTATTTTTTTCCACCTTCACAGAAATGCCTTCCATATACTATATACAAATCTTGTACCATTCCAGATATTGTTTAAACACAGCTAGCATCCATCCTCCCTAGCCTTTATAGGAATCGTGGAGATTACTGATGAGTAACTTCTGGAATGCACAAGTTATTTCCTATGCCACTATTTTGCTTCAATTTATTCTAAAAATATGAATAAGTTACCTATCTTTTTTAATGGTTCTTAAATGAATTATAATTTTTCTCTCTCTGTTTATTTCTTTGGATTTATTTCTTTGGATTCATGTTTTCATGTCATATCTGGATTTGGCTCTTAATATTTTCTGGATTCCTTTTATCCACAAGGTTATTAGTTATAAAAACATTTTTAAAAAGTGTGTCGAGGAAACTTCCCTTTGCAGAAATCATGTTGGATGTTCTTGAGCTATTGGTTGGTTTTGCATATGTTTAATATTTCTACTTAATATAAAAACCTTTCCCACTAGTTTTCTGGATTAAATATTAAATAATCTGTAATTCTTATATTCACAGTACTTCTATCTTCTAGTAAGAAGATTAGTCTTATTTATTTGTTTTTGTATCAATAATTTTACATTTAAATTCTTCAAGAATTTTTAAGAATGTGCTATATGGACTGAATGTTTTGATTTTCAGTTTAGATATTCAAACTTTTCCTCTGTAAAGATTTAACATTTAACATTTTATTTTCTCATTTGCATTCCATTTATTCTTCTTTATTCATGCTTTCATACTTTTCTAATAAACTGCCTGGCTTTCCAGGGAGATTGGCATTACATTCAGTAATTTTATTTACAGACTCTTATCCAAACACAAATGGCTCTCGACTTTCATAAATTTCCATTCCTAAGCAATACCATTGTTAAGGGAGTTTTGCCCCATTTTATGAGTTACTTGCCACAGTTGTTAAGTGAATCACTGCAGTTGTTAAGTTAGTAACACAGTTATTAAGTGAATCTGGCTTCCCCATTGACTATGCCTGTCAGAAGGTGACAAAAAGTGATCATATGAGCCTGGGACACTACACCCATCATAAATATATACCAGCTGCCAAGCACCTGAATTTTGATCATGTGACCATGGGGATGCTGCAACTGTCATAAGTGTGACAAATGGTCATAGGTCACTTTTTTCAAGCAATTCCAAATGGTCACTAAATGAATGATTGTAAGGCAAGGAGTACCTGTAGAAGGGCTCATTTTGTCAGGGGAAAATAGCATGCAGCAGAACTCTCTGCTTGAGGAAGGGAGAGTGATGATTTTTGCTAATTACAAGTAGTACTTGACTTACGAACACAATTGAGGCCAGAATTTCTGTTGCTAAGTGAGACATTTTTAAGTGAGTTTTGTCCCATTTTAAGACTTTTCTTGCCACATTTGTTAAGTGAATCACTGCAGTTATTGAATTAGTGACACGGTTGTTAAGTGAATCTGGCTCCCCCCCCCATTGACTTTGCTTGTCAGAAAGTTGCAAAAGATGATCACAGGGCCCCATGACTCTGCAACCGTCATAACTATGAACCAGTTATCAAGCATCCAATTGTAAACCACGTGAGCATGGATATGCTGCAAGGGTCATAAGTGTGAGAAATGGTCACAAATCCCTTTTTTCAGGGCCGTTGTAACTTCAAACGGTCACTATAAATGAACTGTTGTAAATCGAGAACTACTTGTATCTGTTTTTGCTGATTACCTCTCCAGTTAGTGCTGAACCTTTTCTTACCCAGCAACAGGATGGAGAGTAATGGTGTTATGCACCCCATCTCCCCTTAGGAGGGGCCACCTCTAGCCAAACATCTCTAGCTAGCAATTGCTGGCGCCACCTTCCATCTATGGAGTATTGGGTTGATATGCCCTTTTTGTACCGTTTCTTTGGGACTCATTAGTTTATCTAAGTGATTGTAATTGAACTCTCATTTCTAATGTTTTCTTTACCTCTATAGTGTGATGAATCAAAGTATCGTTATATCATTATCTCTGACTACTGTGTCATCTTAAGCCAAGTGTTTCTAGTTCTTTTTGGACATTTCAGAGAAACCAATTTGAAAAGCTCAGTGACCTTTTTGATGTTAGCTGCTGGTTGTTATCCAGTGAACTTGACATTCTGATACAGAATATAGAAAGGACCGTCTCAAAGTATAGGCACATACTTGTTACTAGCAAAATATTCAATATACATTCCTTTGGGGACTGGAGTAAATATTCTTTTAGTCTATCCATGTTGGGTGCTGTACTAGAATATGATATACTCATTTGTAATACAGGTAGTCCTCGACTTACAACTACAATTGAGCCCAACAGTTCTGTTACTGAGTGAAACAGGGCAACTTCCAAATAGCAACTCTGGGCATCTAATACAGATAGTTCTCAACAAGTTTGTTTTGTAACCTAAGTTACAACGGCACTGAAAAAAGTGAGCATGCCCAGTATCATGTAATCAAAATTCAGATGCTTGGCAAATATTTATGACAGTTGCAGCGTCTCGGGGTCACGTAATCCATTTTTGTCACCTTCTGACCAACAAGGTCAACGGAGAAGTCAGATTTACTCAACAATTGTGTTACTAACTTAAGAACCACGGTGATTCACTTAACAACAAGGAAGTTTGTAAAACGGGGCAAATCTCACTTAACAAAAGTCTTACTTGGCAGCAGAAATATTGGGCTCAATTGTGGTTGCAAATCGAGGACTACCTGTATTTAAACAACAACGCATTCTTTATGGGAAGTCCTCAACTTACAGTCATAATTGAGCACCAAATTTCTGTCACTAAGTGAGACATTTGTTAAGTGAGTTTTTCCCTGTTTTATGACCTTTCCTGCCATGGTTGTTAAGTGAATCACTGCAGTAACCCAGCTGAACCCGTTGCCAAGCTTCTCAATTTTGATCACATGTTCCTGGGGATGCAACTAAGGTCATAAGTGTGAAAAAATGGTCATAAGTCACTTTTTTCAGTGTTGTTGTAACTTTGAACAGTCACTAAATGATCTGTTTTAAGTTGAGGACTACCTGTATTTCCCCCCCCCCCCCCCAATTTTTTATTATCTTCTGGGACTGTATTACCTGGGTTTGACATGCCTGCTTTAAATTTTATGCTCAAATTTGCTTTTCTTTGAAATGTTGCTTTGAAGAACTATTTGATCGCTCCAGGCATTGCTGAACTATGGTTCTCAGCAGCCTCAACTAGCATGGCCAGCGGTAAAGGAAGCTAGAACTTAGTAAGATCTGGAGGCTGCTTTGCCTCAACATTTTAGAAGTGGAAGTGATCTAAACCATCCGTATCCTTTTTGTTTTTTAGGGAAAGTCAGAAGCCTGAGTTCATCCTTGTGGTCACTGACTCACTTGACAGCTTTGCATCTCAGTGACAATTCCTTATCCCGTATTCCTTCAGATATTGCCAAGCTTCATAACCTGATTTATTTGGATCTGTCATCTAATAAGATTCGCAGTTTACCAGCTGAACTCGGAAACATGGTGTCACTCAGGTAATTCGATAGTTTAGACTATTGTGGAATCATTTCAGGTTCTGTGTCCTTGGACCTGGTGATTTGGCAGAAAGCTTCCAGTTCAGTTGCTGTGAAAATATACTCTGAATCAAAGCTAAAGTATTTGTATTGTTTTTTTTGTTTTGTTTTTTTTGAGATTTCAGTTTCCCTGTGCTTACTAATCTGTGTTAAACTTAGTGGGTCTGACTCCTTATTAGTTGCAAACTGAAACGTGCTATGAGTTTTTAATTAATAAGACGAATAGTACATTTTATAACTATTAGAAACAATAACATATTTGAAGGGGGAGAGGTAATTAGAGATAAATACTCTGCATATTGATCTCTTCTCCCACTCTTTTGGGCACTTCGGGTTATGCATTGCTTCAATGTTTTCTTGTGAAAACCTCTTCAAATTATCTGTGCTTTCTCAGTTATCTTTACTGATTCACATGTGCACAAATACAGTCCTATCCACTATCTATCCACATAGTACCTAGTTTTGTTTCTTCCTGTTTTATCTTTGGGAGCTGTGTTGTAGATTGCACTATGAGCAGTGAAGTAGTAAATAGCCCTACTTGATTTCAATTAGTTCTACAACAAAACTTTAGATGCAATATATTCCATCAATACTGAGCATATGTATTTTAAATCACTTACAATTTTGTTGTTGCTTAGAATGAATTTATTGGAATACTTGGGATAAAAATGAGTCTAGTCTTTCCCTTTTTCAAACAATACTAGATAACCCTATGATCCGCAGGGTTAATCCTTTGAGAGAAATGTAGGGCAGTGTAACCAAAATGACATTAAATTTTAGGCTGACCATTTTTTTTTTTATCCCAGTGCTGGATGATCCCATGATCATCTAAAAAAAGTATATATCATAAATACAAAAATAATTGCATTGAAAACAAACTTTAATAATAAGTCCTAAAGTTCTTACCAAAACAGGTAAACAGAATGGCCATAGGAGAGCAAAACAGTGGGATTTAGAGTGATGTCCAACTTTCTGCCAGCTTCCTTTGTGTGTGAGAAACTGACAGGGAGCATTGGAAATCACAATTGCATGACCACAGAAATACTGCAATGGCCACAGTTCTGCAAATAAAATTGACCTGAACATTGCAGGCATTTGAATTCCACAGGAGTAATGGGTATTAGATTTTTAAAGCATTCTTTAACTTAGAGGATTTTAGGTACCTTGATATCCTGGACCTTTTTAGCTAACTTGAGGTTACGAACAGATAAATGAAATGAGACTTTTAGTAGTATGTAAATGGATACAAATGATGTTTTTCCTTCAAGAAGAGCAATGGGTGAAATCAGGACTTAAATAATCTGGTTTTGTGTAAAGATCTAATTTACTTCCTTTGAAGTAAGAAATGGTTATGAATTTTATATAGTTTTGAATAAGCATTTTTGAGTTATAATATGTATAATATTCATTGGATTAGTACTAGGAGATCTGGGTTCAAAATCCCACTCAGTCATGAAATCCTCTGAGGTGATCTTAAGCCTGTCATTGTCTTTTGGCTACCATTTAAAAACTATTTAGTGTATTAGCTCCTTAAATCATTTTGATTAGTAATGCTGGCTTAGGAGTTATTGCTTCATTGTTTTACTTTCTTAATAGTGTACTAGGAGTATGTTTAGAACACTAGCAGGTTTGTTTTAATTCATCGTGTTCAGTATTATTTTATTAATAATTATATTATGTAGTATCCAATATTCCTAATCCTTATGGTTCAAGCTTCTTGTCTTTTTGGTGTGTGCTTTAATATTATTTCTATTTTTCACTGAAAGGTTTAGTAAATTTGGGTTTAGGTTTAATTAAATAAGTTATCTTACTACTTTTTTTCTTTATGTGACTTACATCAGGGAACTCCATTTAAATAATAACCTGTTACGAGTTCTACCGTTTGAGCTGGGAAAACTATTCCAGTTACAGACTTTGGGTTTGAAAGGTATGCATTTTCCCTTTTATACTTTTTCTCCATTTATCATTTTGTTTTATTTTCAGCAGACATCACGTTTTGTCTAATATGAAATAAACAAAGACTAGATTTAAGAACCTTTAAATTATATTCATAAATATCTTTGTACTGCATTCTATTTCTGTTTTAAAATTTCCCCTTTTTAAGGCACTAAATCAGTTTTATTTTTTTTGTCATGCCTGAACAAAAGTAATGCTTGAATCTTTTTTCTCCACCCCACTCCCCTTAGCTGAATCCAGTCTGGTTTACTGATAATTTTATGAAGTGAGAACCTCAGGTTTTCAGTAATGACTTGACTTCTGATATTTTGTGCTGAATTTCCCAGATACTAGCTGTAATAATAAAACACTTAAAACTGTGTTCTTGAGCTTTCATTCTTTTGTCTAAACATTTCTACAGGAAACCCACTTACACAGGACATTCTGAATCTTTATCAGGAACCAGATGGAACAAGAAGGCTACTGAATTATTTGCTTGATAATCTGGCAGGTACTGCAAAAAGAAGTAAGTAGTGCTTTCCAAATACTTATATGCATATTCTTTATCATAAATACTCTTTTATTATTGAGATATTTTTGTTTTCCTCATTAGTTTCAACAGAACAGCCTCCTCCCAGATCTTGGATTATGCTGCAAGAACCAGATAGGACAAGACCAACAGGTAATGGTGAAGTGATCTTTTTAATAGTTTTGTTTGACCAATTTCTTCAAATAGGTTCTTCCATTTTAGAGATGCATATGCATAAAGTAGTTTGAGGCTAATCATGAAACAAAACTTCAATTATTTTAAGTCTGAAATAGGGTAAAAGTATTTAGTAGTATAAACGTTATCTTTTTTCTAGAAAAAAGTTTCTTTAGTTCTTAAGATAGAGTGGGCTTGGGTTGGCTGTTACAAAAACTATTTTGCAAAATTTTGCAGTTTATTCTAAAGATGGTTGTGTGGCAGTACAAATTTAAACGCCAAATGGAGTTAGTGTATGTTTATATATGTTTCCGATTCAAAAATTGGTGATGTTTAAAAATAACAATTTCACAAAAGCTACTATATAAAGTAATTAATTTAGAAGATTTGATCAACAGTTAGACCAAAACATAGAATCTAATTGAATTCCATAATTTAGTATTTGTTTGTTTGCTTGTTAAATTTATCTCCTGCCTTTCTCACCGTGGTGGAACTACTCTGGGCAGCTTACAACAATAAAAACAGAGAAATAAAAACAAGTATAAACATAACAGTAGCAAAATAATGAAACAATGTAAATACAGTAATGTGAGATTTAAAGATTGGCAGGAGAAGCAGCAATGTGGGGTGAGGGGAGGTTTGCTATCTGTTTGATATATAGGGATACTTGCTTTTTAAATATAAATTGAAATACAAATTAGAAAAATTATTTAAAATTATATTTATTAGATTAGAATGATAGATTATAAGATTAGATTATTTAATTAGATTATTTATTTATTAAAATAGTCTGAGTGAAACTTTTTTTCTCTCCAGCTCTGTTCTCTGTCATGTGTTACAATGTTCTATGTGATAAATATGCTACTCGGCAGCTATATGGATATTGTCCATCATGGGCACTGAACTGGGAATACAGGAAAAAAGCTATAATGCAGGAAATTTTGAGTTGTAATGCTGATATCATAAGTCTTCAGGTAAGAAAGTGTATTTCCATTTGTAATATGATGACAACCTTTTAAAGCTGTTAATACATAAGTTATAATGCATTTTTGTCGTCTGTAGTATCCCTCACTGCTTTTATCACTAAAATGAGCCCTTAGCTTCTGCTTGTGAACTATTTGAAGGTAACCACAGACAAATGAATAGAGCAATAGTAAACAAGCACAATGAAGCTTAAATATTTTCTACCCCACCCCATAGTGAGAGGCACATGAAAGTCATTTCCTGATTTATCATTCATCTGTTGTGATTCAGTTGTTTTCCCATCTGTTTTAAGGATGGGCTACATGGTCACAGATGATGTGCCAAACTAACAGATGCATTAAAAAAAAAAGTTGCAGAGCTTCTCTGCTAGGGATTACATGGGCCTTGAAGCAGAAAATAAGAATTAGGGTCAACCCCGCTGGCTAGTGCACCAAGCCAGGGAAATGCTAATTTGTTTTTTGTGTTAAATGTAGCTTGTCATCTTATGAGTTTATATTATATTATAGCTTGTCATCTCATGAGTTTATATTATATTATAGCTTGTCATCTCATGAGTTTAAAGTGTCCATCAAGAGATATAAATTGGATGCTTTCTAAATAGCAATTAAATGGGCAAAAATTGTCAAGATTTCCTACCCTGCCTTTTGGAGTTTCATTTCTCTTCTGTTCTTCAAAAGTGTAGATATTTCATTGTGACCTAGTTTTTTTCTTAACTGTCATGGGCAGATTTTGTGGACAAATAGGTAATTAGTATTTTTAATCTTATCTTTTATGTGATGAATTTACCACTAGAATTCTGGCATAAATAGTAACTCTTCTTCATAATACTTCTTTATCTCCTCGTTTATTGAGGAAACTACATACTATAGGTCCCAAGTTTCTTAAGAGCTATTCTTTATTGGTCTGGATTTTTCTGATCTTCTCTGATACTTATTGTCAAAGGGAAATATTTTGCTCTATAAATATAGAAGCTTTTATAGCTGCATATTTTGTATATTCAAGTACTTGATGCATCACTAGCAGTGACCAAATAAAAAATTATTGAAATTGCTAATGTGCTAAACTGAAAAGAATTGCTCAGAATTGAGCTTATGAATTTTAGGGTCTAGCTGCCATTCAACTTGATCTTTTGTAAGTTCAGTGGACTCTAAACTAAATTCTTGATTGGCTGAAGTAACAAAATATTTTTTTTTTTGTAATGACTGTTAGGGCCTACCATGAGATCTTACAAATCCTATGTATTAATTGTTTTTGTATATTATATTGTTCTTCCTTCTCCGATCTTCTAATTTTACTTTTCACTTAAATCGTTATTCTATTGCTGACTGATAGATACCCTTACTTTTTTGAAGCTTTAGACTATTCAATCAGTTACTATTGCAATTAGTTTAATTAGATCTGCACCTGTGTGCTTTAGATAGATAATGTGCTTCATTTCAAGCTCAGTACAAAAGAGACCCATATTAAAGCAGATTGAATTGGAACCTCCTCTTCACGGCAGAGGGTGTCATCTTTGTATTGTTAAATAAACCCCTGAGACATGCAGGCAGCATGCAGAGAACAAAGGGAGCTAATCGCTCATTGACAGTCTTTTTATCAGCACCTAGTTTTAGCAGTTAACAAACATTCAGTTCTTTAACAGAGCAGGCCTACTGTTCCTCTGGAAAGACCAGAAGAAGCCTGGTTACCCAGTACAGATACATTGTGTGTTCATTATGAAGCATTGTTTTTCTTGTTACAAAAAAATACTTCAAAATTATTGCATTGCAACTTAGCATTGCACTTAATAATTCTCTTACTGGTGTGTTAATTAGGGAAAAAGAGATTGCACAGTACCATAAAATAAACTGTTCTTTTGCCAGCAAGAAATAATGAAAAGCTCACAACCAGACAAAGAAACAGTCACACATATACAGGGCTCAAGTCAAGAAAAATTAAACTAAGCAGAAGCCTAGCAACACAGAAAGATAAGAAAAGGTAGCTTCCGGTTTTGCCAGGCTTCGGTGGCGGCGGGGTTTCGCGATCTCCGCGATCACTGTTGCGCTAGCCGTCTTGGTGCCTCCAATCCTGATGGGTCTGGAGGATAAGGCTGCCCCGTAGAGGCAGCCGAAGATAGGGGGGACCCGGACAGGGGTTTGGGGTTTTCGCAGACCCCTTACCCACCCGGCATAACCCCCTTTTCTCAAGGCGGTGGAGCGGCGGTCAGCAATGGCCGCCACAAAGAAGCCGGCAGCTGGACAAGATTGTGCTGGAGGAAGAAAGAGAAAGTTTTGAAGCGAAAGTTTTTTGGCTGAACTGGGACTATAAGATACATTAAATATCCTGAAAATCCTGATTTTTTTGAAAGATACTTTGTTTCCAGAAGAGATTTATAAGTGGCGAGTGAAAGTGCTGAAAGAGAAAGTTTACTCTCCTTCCATACGGAATTAATAAATGGACATTGAAAACCCTGCTATTTTATAGAAGGTAAAAATTTAAAGCTTTTTGTTACAAGTGGGAAGGGAGAGGACAAAAGAATAATTTATATTAAGATTTTGTTGGAGGAGATGCCTGGAAGATTTTGAGATTGGAAGTTAATCGCAATAAGACTTTAAAATACAGATTGGGTTTTTTTTCCCCTTTCCAATTGATATTACCCCAGGAAGAAAAAGTGTGAAGGGAAGAACTTTGTGCTCTGTTTGGATTGTTTGATGACTTTGGGATTTTGGGGAATTGTTCCAAGCTTTAAATTATCTTGGTTGTTTTAAGAAGAAGAAGAAGAAGAGAAAAAAGAAGAAGAAAAGGTTTATAATGGCTTTATCTGTTGATGAACTGAGAGAGGAATATGGTAAAATAAAGAAAGAAGGTAAAGACGGTGTGAGAGAAATTTTTCGCTTTTTAGAAATGGCGCTTGCCACTTATCAGCAAACACAACAATTGATGGAAGAAGAAGAAGAAGAAGAAGAAGAAGAAGAAGAAGAAGAAGAAGAAGAAGAAGAAGAAGAAGAAGAAGAAGAAGAAGAAGAAGAAGAAGAAGAAGAAGAAGAAGAAGCCATCTTTAACGAGTCTACAAAGTTGATTAAGAAAGGAAGGAGAAAGAGAGGAAGGAAAAAGGACATAAGACTTAAAAAAACATCCAAGAAAGAGAAAAATAAGATGCAAAATCAATACAATGTTAGAAAGCAAAAGAAAAGAGAAATACAACAAAGAGGGGAAGCTAAGGGGGGTAAAAAGACCAGATGGGATAAGATAGGAAGGAAGAAGGGGGGGAAAAGCCACAAAGGTATGAAACAAGATGTGAAAAAGAAATTTTTTTTTAGGGATAAAGGGTAATGCATAATTTTGTTTCAAAAGGATTCTGCAAGGTACATAAGATAGTATTGTAGTATTTGTATTAGAAATAGAAAATTAGAATTTTATAAGACTTAAGTAAAGATTAAAACATTAAAGGTTGTGGATGTTAGTATGAACTTATTATTGTGGTATTTGTTTTTGAAATAGATAATTGGAATGTTATGAGATTTAATGTTTAATTATATATTTAATTACTTTATGGATTTACTATTTTTTTTCTTTTTTAAAAAACTTAGTAGGTAGAATGTACTAAGCAGAATCAGATAGGGAACTAGGTGTTACCTTAAATGTTAATTTAGGGGAGCGATGGAAAGGCATCATACTTCGATTAGTGATTTCAGGAGAAATCTTTTTTTTTCTATTATAGGGAATGAGATAAATGGATAATTGGAAAAGAATGGACAAAAGATACAAATATAATGATTTAAATTAAGATGAAATAAATAAAATAGAATTAAGAAGAGTGGAAAGCGGGGAGAAGTTATAATGAAGATATAGAAGGGTAAATAAGATAGGTAATGGCATATAAGTTGAACATGAATTTAATTGAAGTCCATACAAAGAGAGGTAATCCGGGGCCAAGCTACTTTTTAAAAAGAAGTTTTATGTTTTTGTGTTTTGTGTGTGTATGTCCGTTTG